TTGCTTTGGTCCCCCCCCCCCCCCCCCCTCCCCCCCTTCCATGTTATCTTGTTCCTAATGGGTGGAACAGCAAATGCTTGACTGTGGCATAAGACATCTTAGGGGAAAATTGGTTTTGGCCCTTAACACAAACTAATTTCCATGAGAATCAAGACCTTGGTGTGTTTGTGCAGAGGGATAATGGTCTTGCTTGTAGCTCCTTAGTGTCTTGATCCATTATGAAGTCAGATAAACCCAGTCCTTCTTGGTCTCTGGTCATTACTTTCATGAGGTTTTAAGCTCAGGCATTCAAATACATTCCTGGAGCTGTGAACCTAATTGCCTCTATAGTCAGTGGTGTCATCAGATCATCTGAACTAGAACTTGGCTAAGGATGTTAATTGCACAGCCTGAATCCAGACACCACAGCTGCGCTTGTTTCTTGTACTTTTTTCTCTAATGCTTTTTTTTGTTGTTTTTTTTTTGTTGCTAGAAAGTGTTGTTTTCCTTGGGTGGATCCTTTCTCTACTACGCCGACCGGTTCAAGCTGTACAGTGCCTTCTGTGCCAGCCACACAAAAGTCCCTAAAGTACTGGTGAAAGGTAAGAGCCATGTGCTGAACAAACAGACCTGGGCATGCAGAGAAAGAGATGTCACAGCGACAGATTGGTTTGGGCTGGTGCGGGTTGTCCTTGCAGATGATGAAAGGTGGCCACTGCATCCCAAAGGGCAAGTTGTGGTGGAGGACTGGAGGCATACACGTGCCTGGTTCCTCTCCAGTAACCTTTGCAGTAGGGAAGTAAGACCACCTGTTCTGAGAGGCTCACAGAGCTCTGTGCCATGGGTCTTCTTGCACCACCATCAATGTAATGATACCAGAGTAGTTAATTACGAAAGGCCATTAACCTCACACATAGTTTTTACCCCCACACTTAATTTATTCTCCCCTGACATGCTCATTTTCTTTTCAGTCATGTAGGCAGTGGAGATATTTCATAAATGGGCTATGTGGCTTGTGTTAATGGATCACTGTGTACTTTGGAACCAAGAGTGGTGAAACTTGTAATGACCTCTGGGTCCTCCTAGAGATTGTGCCATGAATCCTTGCTAATGTCAATCCCACTGAAGCTTCAGCTGATGTGGTTGAACACTGACAGCCACTAGGAAAGGGTCAGCCCAGGAGAATGTTTTATGGAAGCTGTCTAAATATTTTAACTTCACTGCTCTCTCTCCCACTTTTCCTTCTCTCACTGTTGTTCCAGTTTGCCTGAGAAGTTTCCATATATAAATTCCTAGTAGAGCTTGACATGCTGAGATGGTGATAAATGTACTGTGATCTGGCTTATAAATGCTCATGGGCCTCCTTGCATTGGAGGGATGTTTTTTTCCTCCTGTAAAAGTGTTCATCTCTTCAAGTTTAGTCTCTTCAAGTTAGCAGTGCTTCATACAATTCCTTTTTGGCCAAGATGTTAAATAAACAAATGGTTCCGGTTGCAGGAGCAATGTCATTAAGGGAGGAGATTTCATTTTTCAAAGAACATCTGGATGCCTGGCAATCAAAAGTTTTGTGTTTGTTTTGGTTTTTTTTTTTTTGTTTGTTTCTTTGTTTCTTTGTTGTTTTTTGGGGGGCTTTGGGCAGGGGTTGTGTTGGGGTTTTTTTGAGGGTTTTTTGCTGTGCATTTTTTTTCCCATTTCTACTTGTATTTACCATGCTGCAAAGAATACTTGGCAGCCCTGTGGAATACATAAATAAATTATTTGTTGCTAGTCACATCCATGCTTTCTTTCAGCTTTTTTTTCATCATTTTGCTAGACCTTAATGTTAAGGCCATAGGCCAGCTGGATCTGGTTATTTTGCTTTTTCATTGCTGACTGTATTTAAAAATAAGAAATGATTGTGCTTGAATTATCACACGAACAGAAGTTAAAATTTTATTCTAGAGATAAATTTCTTCAAAAGCCTGGGAGTGTATCTAAAGTGTAATTGGGTGCATCCTCAGCTGAGGTGCAGGTGGCTTTTAGATTTGAAACTGAAGTTGCTTCATTGAAATCAGGTGACTGTGAAAAAAACCACCCAGACCACCACTGGATTTTTGTTGCTGTTGTTCAGTACTACATTTTAAGGTTTAATGAGGTAATAATAACCAGACTCACCAATATTGCAGGTGTAGGTGTCTGACTAGACTCATCAGTAGCGACTTCTTCCATATACCAAATCTGAGCCTTTTCTGAAAGGAAACCGGTGATTAAAGCAATTTATGCTGCTCTAAAATAGTTGCAAGGCCAGAAATACTGTGCATAGTGACAGTATGTGTACTGGTACAGTAGATGGCTGATGTTAAATTGTAAATAGGGTATCTGTGGCAAAGTGTCAGTAACTCAAAATCCGAAGTGCATTTTACTGTGGACCTGATAAATCTGCACTTCCTTGCAAAAAATGCAAAATTAATTTAGAACTGGAAAAGTCACTTAATCAAGACACCTGTTATGATTTTGGATGTATCCATTCACTTGATTTTCATCTTCCAGCCAAGACAGACACTGCTTTCAAGGCATTTCTGGATGCTCAGAACCCCCGACGGCAGCATTCCTCCACG